ATGTAATGTAATGTAATGTAATGTAATGTAATGTAATGTAATGTAATGTAATGTAATGTAATGTATGTATGTATGTATGTATGTATGTGGAGGAGAAGCTTGTAGTTTTATGGGGAAACATTGGCTAAGGAAGAGATTTCTCTGCAAAGCAAAGCGTGCATTGACAACTTTAACTTTTTCAAAATAGCAGCTTTGGGAAAAGGAAGAGGCTTGTGAAGGCAAGAGTAGATCTGAGATTCCAGGTCTGAACAAGAACTTTGCATGCTTCTCGAATTGTTGTTAGTTGATCAAGCTCCATATCTCTTTAGCACATGTTTTTGCTAAGCTTGAATACGGTAGTTGTTTTTGCTCATCATACTGAGCCAAAAGTACACTGATCGGCAACATATCACAAGTTCACATCAAGGTAGATCGAGCAAGATCGATTTGACAGGAGTTGAGACTAACTGATTTCAACACTTGCTTCAATATCTCTCAAGACCACTCAAACATTGCCAAGGCACATTGAGCAAAAGTAAGTATCATTATTCATTTTTTTATTTCCTTTTGAGCTCGTGGAAAGCAACATAATATATAACATATGTAAACACAAACATATAGTCATATAGTAACCAATAGGACACAATTTAGCAGACAATTATTGCTCAACAAGCTGCTGTAGGCAGTCTGAGTCTTGAAAGAATCGTTCCAGAACTACTCGCACCGAGTGAAGTGAAGATAGCCCATTTTGCTCACCCCCCTTGGACGCTCTGATTGGAGGTTGGACTTGACATGGTTGAAGAGTGGTATTTGTGTTCAAGAGGGAGCTCATATACACGATGGAACCCCCATAGCTTCGTATTACATTGCAAGTTTGCATCGATGCAGCACGCTGACAACACAGATGATGGATACAGCTAGGTGGATTAATCTGGATAAATCCAGGCCTCAACAAACAAGAGAAAGTCATGCCATGAAGGGAGAGAACTGTTCGAGGAATGTATATAGTATATATATATATATACATCCATACATACATACATACACCACATACACAGTTATATACATATTCTTTTTAAGTATGTACACTGGTCATTACCGCAGACATAGAAATTGGACCTTCTCAAGTCCACTTTCCTCAATGGGGCCATGTCCATGTCGATGACTAGAAGGGTTGAGAAGGGTAGCTTCCTCGAGCAACCAAGAAAAGGTCATTTGCTGCATCAGTGACCACCCCTGCTCGTCAAGCTGCATTGTCTTTTCATGATTGCATGGATGCAAGTGTATGATGTGTATGCATGGCATGCGTCTGCGAAACACGGTGGATCCAAAGGTGCGCCACCGATTGTCCTTCGGTGTTTTCGTCCTTTTCAGGCGATGGAGAGGGCTTCCTGCAGCGGCTGCGGACGATGAAGACCATGAAATCGACCACCACAGCAAAGAGTTCGTTCCTTGACGAGGGGGAGATCCCACAAATCCATCTAGAACTGACTCATGTTGTAGACCTTTCTTCCTCTTTTTTCTTTTTTGTTTCTAATAGCAATGGCCTCCAACCTACTAGCAATTGCCTCCAACCTACTAGCGATGGC